CCACCACGTAATGCCCAATATAAATCTGGTTCATGTGTTTCATTGATCGTCAATAAGTCACCTAAAACAAATATAACGTATCACATACATTTGAAAGGAAACATTAAGAAGTTTGTGTATTACTCTTCACACAAGTAATAGTATGCAATCACAGCTCATTTCTGGGTGAACACATATGGGTTCAAAATTTATATTTATCGTATATTCTCACATCTATGATCATACTTTCAAGAAAAACTACATTGAATAATACATACCATGTATTTCGAAAAGAAAATTTTGTATTGAAAAAGATTTCTTATGTCCGATACAAATATTCCGATCTTTTCAAAAAGAATTCTTACACTCGAGAAATCTCATTATTTCTTAGAAACATATGCCATAATTATTAAGATATATCTACCTTGAGCATTAACTGCTTTCATTTCCAAAACATTATCAGATAATAATCCATGTCGCCGAGAAAGTAGCCCATGTCCACCACCAAGTGCATGACCAGCAAGTCCTACCCATGGACAAACTCCAGCGTTAATTGTATAGTTATCAGATTGATATGCTTCATAATAGATTGGACCAAGTCTTGCACCAGCTCCAAATGTCCCAGTTCTATCATGTTGATTAATATTTATATAATTAATTCCTTCCATATTAATTATAATATTATTATATGTTGAACCTAATCCATAACCTTCATAACTATGACCTCCACTTAATGCATTCACAACATAGTTTAAATTTGTTGCACATACTAGCACATTTTGTACATCACTACTGTCTGTTACATACACAATAACAGCTGGTGAACGAGAAATTCGACCACCATGAATAGCAGATAAATTAGTAATATTAAAATGAACACATTCATATTGAAAACTGTTCTGATTTGCTATAGTACTACATGGATAAATAGTACGTACTGACAATGGTAATAATGTTGAAAGACATGTATATAAATCATTATTGTTTGTTCTGGTGAATTGATAATTAGGAAGATGAGTTGTCGAAATCAAATTAATTTGAAAAATACATAACAAAAACAAAATGAAAAACCAATTCGAAATAAATATAATCATTGATCTAGAGAAGTCGACTATTTTGAAGTTATTTACTTTTAGCGAATAATACTCGTAGATGTAAAGAAAATGTATTCGTTCGTATGTGATGAACTTCAGTTCATTTATTTTAATCCTACTTTTCACATGGTTACATATGTTTATATGTTAAGAGAAGAAAAGAAAAGAAAAACTAAGCTGAAATAGTAACAATAAACGAAAACAATAAAACAACATAGAATAAACACGAGTTAAGAAATACGAACAAAAGTTCGCTGGTTCCATAAAGTTGACTATCTGTATTAACATATGTTATTATTCAATATATATAGTCAAACATGAAAAATGTATATTTTTCACATAAATATGGAGATGTGAATATTTTAAACTATATACACATCATTTATTTGGAGTGCATTGCACAATCTATCAGTTTAATCAGTGAGGAATAGTAACGTGCACTCAACTAGACATAGTTTAATTCATAGAAAAGTTCTATGACATCATATTTTTTCTCCAAAAATAGTTAGAATGCCATGCAAATATTACTTATTCTATTCAAGCTTCCGATAAAATATTTTTATTAGTACCTCTAAGTTTGTATTGAATATAACGTGAAATTCATGAACAAAGTGAGTTTCACTGTAAAAGTGTTATTGCACATGTCTTTATCCTAGAGATATAGGTATACGTAACAATAGATGGAATCTGAATGTATTTATTTCGAGAGACATAACATTCGTATTTTATCTGGAGTTACTTTTTATTATGTGTAAAACTTGAAACTGAAAAACTGCTTTTCTCACTGAGGGTATGGGATGGGTGTGGGTGTGGGTGAAATTAATAAGATACAATCACACCCACATCCTCAATATTGTAAATACAGACAACAAGACTAAATGAACGAAAAAGAAAGAGAGATTCTCGAATGGTAGTACTGTCTGTATGAAACTATCTTGTTAGCAACAGAATGATAGAATATCTTTCGAGATTTGATTATCGAAATTTTAACCGTTCAGAATTTTTGTTTTTCGACATTTAGCGTTTCGATATTTTTCCAGCAATGCATTATATACGAATTAATGATGAAAAACACAGCTCTCTATCTCTTGGAAGTGAACAATATTTAAAAGATGTTACAAGAGAACTAAAATGCACAGAAAATATCGAGAAAAAATATTTTTAAAACAAATCTCCACGAAAAAACAAGTTCATGAACAATTTTATTTATGTTGTTTAGGAAACTGTATTGTCCCATTTTCAATAGCAATTAATTCAAATATTTTGTAGTCCGATCATGCAAATTTGAATCACACAGAAAAAAAATTCAACAATTTTTATCTAATAATGAAGTAGAATCAAAAACACGATATAATGAGTTAAATTTGAATGCACAAAAATCATCTGTAGAATAAACAAATAAAAACGAGTTTATTTTGTCTCAAAACATTTCAATTGATTTCCAGTGCAATATAATTCGAGAAAACAATCTCAAAAACGCGTTTTGTTTTTTGACGATCATGGCTGCCTGAGGCGTCATCCTTTTCTTTGCTTTCATAACGTAGAGAAAATCAGTTTTTTTTGTTCTTTTACATTTATCATACAAAAATATAAAAGTGAACAAATTAGTTTATAAAATATGAAAAAAAGAATTAATTCTAGCTGAATAAGTGATAGTAATATTTTGAATCAGTGGATATAATTTCTATTGAATTGTAATAAAATAAAAAAAATTATTTAAATATATTTTTTTCTCTTATTATTAAATTTTGATAAAATGGCTTATGTATCAAAAAATATTCATTCCTATTTTGGTATAATTCACAAGATGAACTTATTAAACATTTATTCTTCCATCAAATCATAATCGATCACTTGTCTGTCTTTCATATAGTCATCGAGGTCATTTCTTTTTTTTTCATTTCAAAATTTAATATTATTTATATTTATATTAAAGTCTGTCAAATATGTGATATATGATGGAAACGAGTAATTGATAATGATTATGAGCAATGCAAATTAATTGGTGTATATCGAATAAGTAAAAGAAAATAATTGATATAAATTATTTTTATTTTGTTTAGTTAATGAAAATGAAAAATATTTTATGGTAATTATTCAAATAAATACATTAGATCGAATACGAATGATAAATATTGATTATTTGATAGAATAATTTATAACTTAATATTTAAATATGCAAGGAAATATTGATTATTTAATATCAACAACAAATTCAACTATATTGTGAGAAATAGAAATATTATAAGTATCTGTTCAAAAACAATCGATTGATTATTTTGATTTCTAATTATTTGAATGTACCTAAAAAATACTAAAAATAGTAATTTCGACACTGGAAAATCGTATAGTCCGCTAAACAAGATATTTTTTCGTATGTATACTCATAGATGAAACTATCTGATACAATAATAGTATAAAAACATTGTTTTGATATCATTATTTATGAATTGTTATGTTAGAAATACATAATAGTTGATAATATATATGTATGATGTAAATACAAAAAATATCGTTCGATTGATACAAATTAAATGCAATCGAGGTCGAAACAAAACAGTCGTACACACGGGCTGTCAATCTAAATAAAATCAAATAATCAAACGAATATGTAAAGAACAGATGCTGTTATATATTTTTTCATTATTAAACTTAACTGATACATATAATATCCTTTTTATTTTCGATTTTTTGTCGTTGATTGTGAGAAAAAAACAAGTATGCAATTACATGAAAAAAAAATACATATCTCATTTTTTTATCTTGTACATAACACTTATTACCTATGATGACTGAAAATAAACTAAGAAAACAAAGTATGAGTCATTGATAGCTTTTTTTACATCAACAAAATACGTGTACATTATTATCGATAAGAGCTGAAAGTGTAAAAAAAATTGCCAGTCATCACTAATTTTTAGTACATTTCTAACATGTGACTTATATTTTTTCAAATAGAAATTTACTTGTCTAAATGAATATATATAAAAAAATAAATCTCTCATTTTTATTTTGCAATATTCTGTAAGATTAATGAATAGAAGTCAGTATTTCATATTTTTATTTATAAAGATTATATCAAAAAATGAAAGTTCTACTTTCCTAATATTCTATAAGATCAATATATTAAAGTGAACAATTTATATTTTAATTCATAAGAATTCATGGAAATTATAAAAAAAGTCAATTTCTACTAGAAAAATAGAAGTCACATGTTAGAAATCTAGTCAAAAATAGTGATGACTGGAGATATGTCATACCGTGGGCTCGGTTGTGAAATAACGTACTTACATTTTGTTGGGGTGAAAGAAAAAATGATCAGTGACACACATTCTTTTCTCTAATTTACAGTCATCATAAGTAATAGGTCTTACATATATAATAAAAAAAAAGAGGAGATATGTATTTTGTATCCAATATAATTGCTTGCTTGTTTCTTTTTGTTAAAATGTAGGATAAATATAGAAAACGAAAAAGGATATTTAATGCATGATATAAAATTATAGAGAAAAAATATATAAAAGCACCTGCTTCTTTATATATTTGTATCATTATTTACTTTCGTATAGATTAATAACTAGTATATTCGATTGTTTTGTTTTGACTCTGATTGTATTTCGTGGGGGTGCTACATTACTTTTACTGTTCATTTCTTTTACTTTGTAATTGGTAATATTTCTTGTTACTTTTGACTATTAAGTATATTTATTTTGTGATTTTATCGATTTTATAGTTTGCATTCTTACTCCATAGCTTAATTTTGTATTACTTTATTCCCTGAGGGTGGGTGTGGGTTTCATTTCATTACTCTCATCTCCACTCAAATCTTAAGCTAACTTTTATTTATCATTCGATTTTCATATAGACATTTATTTCAGATTTTTCTTCTTTTCAAGGCAATACTTTGTCAATTAGCTCAAAGCTATGTCTTATTCAAACTTGACATGTGGTCGAATGTGAGTTTTCAGTGTCTTCAATGCATTTTATTATCTTTTGCTAATTATATAGGTGTGCTATATTTGGTCTTTTCGCATTGGCACTATTTGTTATTGCGTGTGCCATTATTCTTTCGCTCATTCCGCTGTACGTACCAACGAAGGGTTCTGGAATCATCAACATCAAAACATTAGAGGCTACTAGTTAGTGTTTATTTATTATTTTTATCATACACATACGTTGTCTTTACTAGGAAAATCACTTACTGCATTAGATGCCGTTTACCTGTTGCCAGCTGGATATGAGAGAAAACGAGCCACACAATCCGTCACCAACCGAATAACAACTGCCTCTTGCGTAATTTTTGTCTTTTATGTTAACTGTTAATGTTTAAACTATTTTAGTTGCAACAAGCAATGGGTGCACCCTCAAATTGCATCGACGTCAGTGGCATCATCAGTGCACTAGCAATCGGCAGAGGTCGACGTCGTCGCCGCCGCGAGTAATTTTGTTTTTAATTATTTTATGCAAATTATATTTACCTATAACTTTATATATAGCGTTCAATGCGATAAAACGGATCGGTCAGGTACTGCTATAGTCTTTAGTGTCGGACTGAATTATCCAAACAGTCTACCATGCCAAAAGATGCCCTGTCAAATACAATTCTTAAGCGGTATGCATAATAGCTTCAATAATGTGACCTCTATCAATATGACGGCGGACGATGGAAGTACCTTGACTCTGGAACTTTGTCACATTCAATCTTATCCCAATGGCAGGAATGACAGTGGAGATAATTCTAATGGTATTATTATCGGTAAGCAGACTATTTATTTTATCATTTATCCATGAGCACGAGCACATTCTCATTTGACTTAAAATCTATATCGAACAGATTCCGATTTGAATCTAATTGCAAAAATATTTACGAATCTAGCTTATGATCAGCCAGTTTACACTTCTAATATCTTGCTGACTGCTTTTTCAAAGATGCACCAAGGAAATAAGACAACAGAAAAGATTCCTCAAACTATAATCTCGATTGTATTATCTTTTAAAGAGAAATGACTTCTTTGACAAGTCCATAATGCTCACATCGTTAGTAAACACAAAGAATAAAAAAAATTGAAAGAATAATAACTTCGTACGAAAAAACATAAAAATATGACATATCCGATGATGAAACGTACATATAAATTGATGTATTTATTTTGCATTGATTATAAAATATAAATTTTCATCAATAATATGGTATGATTTTGAGTTCTAATGAAACTCATGTCATAATATTGATAAAAATTTGCATTTTGATCAATGAAAAACGAATGTATCAATTGTGTGACTTTTTTATTCTCTACTAATCGAAAAGAGTTCAATTTCCATATTTTTATTTAATAATAGAACCGATTCCTACTACAACAACTACAACAACAACAACTAGTACTACTACTACAACTACCACCACCACAACAATAACTACAACTACAACTACCACCACCACAACAATAACTACAACTACAACTACAACTACAACTGCAACTACAACATCAACATCAACAACGACAACTACAACTTCAACAACTTCAACAACGACAACTACAACTTCAACAACGACAACTACAACTTCAACAACGACAACTACAACTTCAACAACTTCAACAACGACAACTACAACTTCAACAACTTCAACAACCACAACTACAACTACAACTTCAACAACCACAACTACAACGTCAACAACTTCAACAACCACAACTACAACGTCAACAACAACAACTACTACAACTACCACTACAACAACAAGTAAGCAATAAAAATATATTTCTCTGTGTCTCTAACGCATTTTTTTAAAAATAAGTGAAATATATGTAGTATCCAACATGCTTGCTACTAGAATTGTAATTACGTTTGCTAGTAGAGCGATTTTGTGATACTTTGAAGATAAATTAGTATGACTATGAAACCTAGAAATAGAGTTTTTTTTACAGGCTATGAATTCTTAGAAAAGATTTTTAATTCCTTTTCAAAAATTGAAATTCTCGTTTGTTTTTCATTATGTAATTCGCTTTACTAAAAAGACTAAATGCACTGAAAGATGCAGCGTGAAAAGTTCTACAATTTAAATTCGATCGCTTTCTTACTATTTTGCCTTTTGTTTCTGAAATGAACGAAACTTGGAGCGGCGAAATTTCGACGCTAGGGTTGGTGTGAGTGTGATTATGTCCATCACACATCCTCATCCTACTGTGACGAAAAATTTATTTATTTTTTCTTCAAATAAATTTTTAAATATTTTTTTATTTGCTGAGTAGGAATCGTTGTTATTACATTTGAAGATATTCCATCACCAGATCCTAATTCAGGCACTCTTCCGACACCCTACGATAATCTTATTTGGACATTCGGCTATGTAAATTCAGCGTCACCTACATTTGTGGCAAGTGGTTATCCACATGTAGGAGGAACTGGTCCACATGTTGCATGGAGTGCTACTCCTGCAACAATAGAAACAACGGGTGGTGCAACGATAGGACTCAATTCATTTCAGCTGGGTGCTGCATGGACAGATGGAGTGACTGTAGTTATTACTGGTTATTATTTAAATACACAAGTACAAACAGCCACATACACTGTGTATATGAGTGCAGGAACTACAGTGACCCTTAATTGGTTTGGACTCGATAAAATTGAATTTATATCAAGCGGTCAAACTCAGCATGATATTGGCATAGATAATTTATCTATTACTTATTGATATTTTATAATTAAAAATAATGTAACAAACTTGATGATGTTAATCAATTTGTATATATGTATAATTGTTCTTTTCGAGTTTTTTTTTCAAAAATAAAAATAGATGATCTTTATTCTGACGTGGGTGTTAGTGAAAATAATATTTATGCATCATCCACACTCATCACATTCTACCCAGATCCATTCGAGTGATATTTTGCTTAATCTACAATAAAACAAAGGTAGACATATATATGAGTGTGAATTTATGAGGACGAATGTGGATGTAAATGAAGTGAATCAAAAATATGTGTGTACGAGATACAGTATACTAATAAATGATTTTTAATGTTAATTTAATTTCCCATGTTTTAAAATTTTGATGTATCAAACTAACAAATGAATAAGTAAACGCGATAAGTGAATAAATGTTGTTAATATTATTCAAGCTGAATAAAAAAAAGAGTCGAAAAGTGTTAAGTGAAATGATACGAACTTGATAAGAGCAAGTAATTGAAGAATAAAATTAATAAATGTGAATTTGTTGAATTTTCTAAGTTGCTTATAATCGTTTTATGTAATACTTTCATCTTGAAACAGCAATAAAAATCTGAAGATTATACATGTTTTTTTAATGTTTAACCTGGTTTAAAAAAACTTTGCTGTATTTGCCTTAGTCTTGGTAGGGCAGGTTATCTCCTGCTATCGGTCTATACGTAAAATACTAGAGAAACAATATTTTCATAAATCACAAGAAAATTCATTATTTCATAGTTATGATATTGGTTGAATGATCATATAGATATATATATTGGAATTTAGTTCAATTTGGAATAGGTTTAATATTAATAAAATATTTTTTTTCTACATAAGTACTGTACTATATTTTATAGTTATAAGGTGTTTTTAAATAGGAGTAGAGAAAAATTAGTCTTAATTTATAAAAATGTCAATTTTTCGCTGATCATAAATTGCATGTAGTTTTTGACAAGAATTTTTATGATGATAAAATATTTCGGATTTACTTATGAGTGATTTGTTAATTTTTTTGTTTTTGAATATATTGATTTTTTTTTGAAATTGGGGACATGGGGATATTGATTATCGGCTAGAAATGAATTGTTTGATTTTCGATTTTAAATATATTGTATTTTTTTAATAATGGTAACATGGGGACATTGATTATTGGCTAAAAAATGAATTGTTCAATTTTTGGTTTTCATTATAATGCATTTTTTTTGATAATAGGGACATGGGAATAGTGATTATTGGTTAAAAATGAATTCTTAATTTTTTATTATATTGCATTATGTTTTGATGATAATAAGGGTTCTACTGTAAAACGTCGAAAATTAAAAATGTCGAATGGTAAAAATGGTGCTACCTACCACGTCTTTTTTTCAACAGTTTACTATTCGACATTTTTACTTTCGACGTTTTACAGTAGAACCGATAATAAGATTAGAGATATTGATTTGATCGATAAAAAATAATAAAATAAATAGAAGAGTATTTCACGTAGATTTTTTGTTTTTTTGTAATTGAGATTTTCTAAGTATTTTGTAGAATTCGCTACACAAGGAAGAGATATGAATATTTTAGTTAGATTATATTTATTACGTGCGATGATAAAATGAAAGAAAGAAATATGATAAATAGAACTTAAAATTTACGATCAACATTCAGAAAGAAATGAAAGTCAACAGTTCAATAAAGGTAAAGCAATAGAAACGTGCAATTGTGTATTATTTTCTTTTCGAATATTTTCTTTTCGCTTTCATAGTGTTCGTTGAATCGTTGTTTCTTTTCTTAAATTGTTTATAAGAAGGAACAGATGTATTGTTATAATAAATGTTTGATGACGTTGGATCAGATTGTCGTATTTCTAAATTGTATAGAGTAAATAGTTTCGTTCTATATCGATGTGTGTTGATAGTAGTGTCCTGCGGGAACGACATTTTTCCCTGTTTTTCCCTTTTCCCATTCCCATGGGAATGGGAATGGGAATTCCCATTTACATTTAGGGAATGGGAACGTGGGAATGGGAATGGAGCTAAAAGCTCACGTTCCCTAAACTGTGACTACCTTTTTTCAATACATAAAAATATTTCCATCTAACAACTGCTTATTTTTAATAATTTTTCTTATTCATATATAATTAACAAAAAATTAACTAATGTGTATCAGGAAAGATAGACTTTTGCTTTATTCTTAACTACATCATTATTTAATCTTCACTAATAAAATTTTCTTTTTCATCAGCGTCGTTGAAGATAACATCATCAGGACCATTTTGTCGTAACACTTCATTACTATCATGTTGTTGTGATAAATCGTTATCATCATCCTCTGTTTAATACTTCCGTTTCTTCATCGCCGTAGTTGATGTATTACTATCTTTTCGTTTTTTTATTTATTAAATAGATGTGGAAATAATTCTTTTCAACAATGATAAGTTTCGACGTATAAATCATATTTTAAATGTTATTAAAAAAGCAAGCATTAGTAGAGTATTCAGTAAAATATTCCTCGAATCGTATCGTACTTTTCGTTTCTTTGATAACACGTTACGATGCGCAGAAGTGATGTCAACAACAACTGGTAGACATATATGGTAATGACCCTTTTCTTGCAGATGAAGAGAGCCTTTGAAAATTCAGGGAACTAAGGGAATGGGAACAGGGAATGGGAAGTTAGGAAAAAAAATAAGGGAATGGGAATAGGGAATGGGAAGTAAGAAAAAAAATTAAGGGAATGGGAATAGGGAATGGGAAGCAAATAAAGTCGTTCCCGCAGGACACTAGTTGATAGTCAAAAAAAACTAATGAAAATGCTATTTAATTTTTGTATAATAATATTTCAATTATAAAAAGAAAATACATCCATTTATGTAATTAGGGTGTGGGTGAGTATACAGTATTGATACATAATACCCACATCCGCATCCATGACCATTGTCTATTTCAGACAGAAATGGTCATGAGTATTATTTTAATTCAAAAATACGAACTTTTTACTGAAGTTCAGTGATCTATTTTCATGCTATTATTTATTAACCTTCTGAGTCTTAGTTTTTTACTCATAATATCATCAAAATTAACACAAGGTAACAGTTATCACTGATAATTAAACAACTTTTTTAAATAGTTTGGATCCATTCTAATATGTATGTAATGACAATTGTTCTTTTTCGAATCATTGCAACAATGAAGATTGTCTTCGATAAAAAATTAAGTGTATTGTTGTATATCTGTGCCATAGTATTTATGAAAAAATCTTGATTGTAACAATTGTTTCAATCGAAATACTGTTAGCAACTAATCTTTTCAAATATGAATTTAAGATATTTCTCTAAATGAATATATTTAGACTTTGTTGAATTCATACAAATATATATGACTGTCTTTTTTTATGAAAAAGCAAGTGATTTTATTCTTTAAAAAAATAGTATAATCAAAAGGAGTAAATAATTTTAAAATTTTTGTTACAAAAAAAGACATTGTATAAAAATGAAGTTATGATAATTTTTTTCTTTCCGATGAACTTGTCACTAAGTTTCGAATCATGTTTAATCGTGTTTTAAATAGCTTGATTTGAAAACACTCAGGATCATACTGGGTACAGCTGACTCCTTACGCGGTTTGGAGGCAACTAAGCCGAGTGTACCTTCTGATACATCTGCAGAAAATACCATTTGGAGTTTATCGCCAGCTTTGATTACGATGGCAGTTTGACAAATTAAGACGGAAGTATCTTTATTTACCGTTTGAATGGTATTCGAATTTGCCATATCCTTTCCATTTAGCTTCATCCACAAGTGTACATCACCAATACCATCTTCATTATCACTTCCAACTTGAGCAGAAGCCATCACAAAGTAAGTTCCTGGCTCTTCGAACTCCATGATACCATTATTATTTTTGATATGATGTGAACCATCATTGTTATCAAGTTTAACTGTCTTCGAAGATATACAGCCCCATTGCGATTGTGAACTAGACAGCTGTGCATATGCAATTAGGTTTTCGTCGTTCGACAATCGAAATGTTGAAAACTGCATACCAACGACTGTCGGCTCGCTCTTCGGCTTCAAGACAGTTATACCCAGTTCCTTATTTGTAGTTGAGAACATCAACTGAACTTTATCGTTAGTTTCAAGTTTAGTAACTGTCTGACAGATTAGAATTGCTGCACTACCATTGTGGATAGTTTGAATTGTGTCACTGTTAGGTATGTCTTTTCCATTGAGTCGCATCCATAAATGAACTTCACCCGGTGCATGAGTACCTTCAGTACTTTCAACCTCGGCACTTGCTAACATAAAATAAACACCTGCTTCACTATACTTGATGGTTCCATGATCTTCAGTCGTTGCTATATCTATTCTATTGGCTGCACTAACACCATCGAGTATAACTACCTCTGGATCCGAGTTACCCAATTGAGTTCCCGTGCTGAATAGTTGTGCATAAGGAATTGTGTTAGTACCGTCGCTGAGCTGGATAATGGTGAGTATAACACTGGGAACTAAGGGTTCCTTTTCTGGCTGAGTAGCAGTCAAGCCGATACGGGTACATTCTTCGTCTACGTGGGATGAGTAAACTATTTCAAATTTATAATTGGCAGGGGCCTGAAAAAGTGCTGCATAAATAAAAACCGATGTACTTCCATGATCGACTGATTGTATACCATTTGAGTCAGGCACATTCTTACCATCTTGTCGCATCCATATATCAATTTGTCCTTTACCGTTTCTACGTGGACTACCAATTTGAGCACCGAACATTGCGAGATAAACACCGGCCTTTTGAGTTACAAACGTGCCATTGTAGAAGGCAGTAAAATCATGCGATCCATCATTACTATTGTATGTGATCACTTTTCCTTTTGATCCACTTAATTGGCTCTTTGAACTCGATCCTTGAAAGTATGCAACGTTATCGATTATTTTGTCATTACCTTCAGTGATCAATAACTCGTTGCTAAGGACAAATATTACCAATATTATGCTTAATATTTGGTGTTGTTTTTTCATGTTAGTCAGTGACGTACTGATAATTGTTTTTTTTTTAAAAATTTCCTCACGAAATAGTTACGTTAAGATGAATTATCTAAAAAACAAAATCAAAACATAAAATATGCTTTACATGAATGAGAGTGTCGCTGTAGGAGAGGATGTGCGTGTAGAAATTAAAGAACAATCACATCCACATCCACCCTCAAGACGGTCTGTCAGAGTCCTCAGGACATCCCAGAGTTCACGAAGGTTAACCAAGATTTTCCAGGATAGCCAGGGCCTACCAAGATTAATCAAAGTCTATCATGGTTCACCAGGGTTTACTAGAGTCTATAAGGCCTACCAAGGTTTACTAGGGCCTATTGGGGTTCACCAGGATGTACTCAAGTCTATCAGGGTTTACTAGGAACCCCAAGGCTCATTTCGGTTTCCGGGGAGCATCAGGGCCTATCAGGGGTGTGGGTGTGGATACAATATCAATATATAATACCCACACTCACACCATCAAGATGGGTTATATTTTTATCGATAAAATATGTCTTCTGGTACCCGAAGAAGCCCTTTTCAGATAAGATACTTTGGAAAAGATGAAATAACTACATTTATATTCGTCGATTTCCTGTCTCACATTAAAGTTTAACAATGATCGAGCTCATTTCTACGGAATCTTGTAAGAATTCGTTACGAATTTTACGGCGCAAAGATTGCTAATTAATGAAAGATGCGTCCTCTTATATCAATCAAAATTTTTATACTGTACGTTTTTATGAAGAAAAGAAGTTAGAACACACGAATCCAAGTAAAAATGAAACTTACTGCAAAGGATTATTTTGAGTACAAATGAAAAAAGGACATCGAATGTTTACTTGTAATAAAAAGTACGCTTATCTTACTTGAGAATAAGAAAATAAAAAAGAGAGTTCTTGATATTTTATGACAAAAAGTTCACTTTTAAATAGGAACTCGCGAAGGGTCGTTTAATAGCTGTAATAGATAAGGAGAAGAAAAGTACCTTCAAGTGAAATTAATGATGATGCAGAAAAGTACATATTTCATCATATGATATTATTTGCATGTGTTATTATCTTTTCTATATGTATGTACCCAACTCTCTTCTCACTTCAAGCGCTGCAGGTTTGTGATTGTTGACATAATGGCCCTTGAAAACTACTAACACAGTTTGTATACATTGATTATTCTTTCATTTTCTTCACAATAACCAAAATAAATCTTTAGAGTATCACATGATTCGAAGTTAAGCGGGAAGGGAGACGATGAGGATGGGTGTAAGGGTGTAGGTGTGGATGTGAGTATGGATACTGCCTCTGCTTAACACCCACATTCACTCTCTATGATGTAAAATAAATTGATTAATTCTATATTATACAGATTGATCTGTCTTTTAAAGAAAAGACAAATACATTGTATTGGTCTTAACTCCTCCTTTTCAATAATCGAGTTATATCTCGAAAATTAATATTCTTTTCGAGATGTACTTAGGAAACAAAGTTAAATGCAGTTTTAACGCCGTCGACACAATTTATGTTACTTATTTTGTAACAAAAAATCTCATCACAGTTTTATAAACCATCTTGAGGGTGGGTGTGAGTTAAGGTAGCAGACGCACACCAGTACCCACACGCTCACCGACCATCGACTAGACTCAAAGCCATTTGAGAACGACCCGGACTCGACTCGATCCGGGGCAAATCACGCCCGACCAGAACACTCCGAAATTTCACCGGATTCCTACCTAAAGGATTCTAACCTGCGGACTCTACAGAATCCGTCGAAAATCTGACCGAATCCTGTTGGATTGTAACGGATTTTGCCGGATTCCGATAAAATCCGGATCAGAACCTGATAGTTAGGATTGTTTGACTAAGGGGTAAATGGCCTGACTCGCCCAGCCCTGCATAAAAATGTTGTTTTTCAACTTTTGTTTTAAAATAAGAAAATAAGTGACTATATACACATACAAAAGATAATAACAACAATGACAAAGAAAAAACACTGCAGAACGATAATATTACATAAAAGTAATATTATATGACGAAATATGTACTTTTCTGCATCATCATTAATTTCACTTGAAGGTACTTTTCTTCTCCTTATCTATTACAGCTATTAAACGACCCTTCGCGAGTTCCTATTTAAAAGTGAACTTTTTGTCATAAAATATCAAGAACTCTCTTTTTTATTTTCTTATTCTCAAGTAAGATAAGCGTACTTTTTATTACAAGTAAACATTCGATGTCCTTTTTTCATTTGTACTCAAAATAATCCTTTGCAGTAAGTTTCATTATTTATGTTTAGACTTTAATTAAAGTTCTGGTTAATTTCCAAAAAAGGATACATTCTTCAGTAGTTAGAAATTGTTAAACTGTATAATTTCTACCAAATTCTTACGAAATTCCAGAGAAATAATTCAGTCATCTTAATGATCGAACATGAGATAAGGGACTTATGAGTTAGAATACATTTCAAATTTTTAACTATAAGTTAAATTAAATAATTAATTTAGATCAAATTCAACATAAACTCATCGTCGCTAGATATCATTTATATCCCTGAATAATCTAGAATAGACTTGCAATTTTACGAGATCGATAAAAACATTCTGTTTCTTGCTTATAAATATACACCAAATCGATATAGTTCAGGCTTAAGTCACATATTAAAAGTCACGAATAGAGATGTGGGTGACCAGGTTTTTCTGGTTCCGATCTTGGCCTAGCCCCAGCATCTCGTTTTTCATCATTCTCGAGTCTAGGATGTTCTTGGCCTCGGTACAGACCCGGCAGCTGTTTTTTCCAATGGCTCTGGTTTTGGTCACAGCCCTAGTAAAGCTTTAGTTTTTGGTTTCAGCTACTGCGATAGGGTTCGAGACCACAGTTGGTTCCTCATGTCTCTAGTAACGAAACCATGTCTAATGCTTTATACTATGAAATACCATACTAACCTCATTATGTACTGATGATATTCAGTAAAAAATTCAGTTTTCCGCGTCGACAGTTACTCGCAAATTTTTTTTAAAAGGTTGTCAGCGCACCCTATTTGGGGCTAAAATATGGAACTCATATATTCACTACGATTACTAAAAAAACTCAATTTTTGAATTTTGATCACGATGCCTGATCACTATTTAGCCTGTTGTTGAGCTTTAACTCTGGTTTCTGAGGCTTGCAGGTAGAAGAAGATGACGAAAATTCTCAATATGTAAACTCAGATATTTTTAATTATGAGTACTCGTCTGTGATGACAGTCTCATTGTGAGGGTGGAGGCACAAAACTTGAACTTCTAGCTTACACTCATATTTTTATATGTGAATACCGCAAAAATGACTTTGTCCATAGGAATCGCACGCATAAGTGTCGTTTTCTTTTCATTCTAACAATCACTTAAGTATATATGTTAATTATTTCCATATTCAGATAAGTCCTATATATTTTTACATAAGATTTAACGTCTAAAATGAAGACTAAGTATACTCCTACGGCGACTGATGAAGATATGATAATGGATGGTCAACAGCGTCAACCGATATATCGAAAACTTGAAAAAGAGCATCAACCATTACAACAGTAAATAATTATCATTGATTTATTTTAATAAAATTCTTTTTTTCTATTATATTACGTTAATAGATCATCGCGGAAACGAACATTTCCCTCAAAACCAATTCGAAATATAAGTATTATAATATTAATGATTTGTATTATTAGTGTTGGTATCATTGGATATATTCATTATAATACATCGAATACAAATAAAACACATCTTAACGAAAATCAAGGTAGATTCTCACTTCATTTTTAAAATAGTCTCGTGAAGTCTTAAATATTCTCTTTAATCTTATTGAAATCGATATTTTTATTTTATGATGAAGATGAAAATGAACAAATTCCTCAATTACGATCATATTCAAATGATGATGTAAATATTTTTATTTTATTTAATAAAACAAATATTTTTGTTTTTTAATTTGATAAAATAGGATTCTGATTATCCTGAAATTGTTGGTCAAATGCATATTTATTTTCGTCAATCACCTAATTCGTTTTATCGACGATCATTTGAAAAACTTACTATTCCTGTTGCAAGATATAATCGTCGACATTTTCGTAAAAAAATATTTTTTTTTATAATAAAAAATTCAATTTTCTTTATTTTATTTTTTAGCTTTAAAAGGTCCATTTATTAGTTTAATGCCACGGATGCCAATATTTGCTGATCGATACAATAAACAAACAATAATTTATTCGAAAAGAAGTTCAAGTTAATATTTATATTCATTCATTTATAAATAATAAATTTATTTATTTATGTAGCCTTAATTTATGTTTTACCAGCATTAACTGATAAACATGGAAAACGTTTTTCAATTGCAGAATTAATTAAATCAGGTCATGTTAGTTTATCAAATACCGGTATACAACTAAAATCAGATATGGATATGTCAACATACTTTCGATCAGAATCTTGTTTGTTTTATTTTTTTGATTTAAATATTTGTAATTATTTATTTCTTATTTAATAGTAAAAGGTTCAAATATTCCAAGAATAAATTCTCGTACAGGTGGTTTTATGGATGGTTATCGTACTAATTATGAATCATTATCAGTACCAAAATATGATGAAGTTACTATTAATACTGATGAAATGTTTGGATCAGAAGAGAAAAGTGAAGATGATAAAGAAGAATATAATAATAATCAAGATTCTTCAAATCAATATGAAAGTGATGAAAAATCACGATCACCTCGACGTCGATATCCTCCACGTCAACGTCCACGACCTACACGACGACCACAAAGTAATTATTGCTCATGATTTAGTCTCAATAAAAATTATTATATAATCAAATTATTTTTTTATTATATTTTAGCTTATAAAACAAAAACAACATCAACAACAACACAAAACTCAAAGACAACAACTGAATCGTAAGATTTTATTGATCTTTGCTTCTTTCTTCTCTTTATTATTAATAAATAGTGAATCGACAACAAAAAAATCTAGTGGACACATTATTGATAATGTTGCATATTTTCAAGGATCAAATTCGAAAAATCAATTGGGTGGATCTAAAGGAAAAGTAGTAACATATAATAGTATTGATGGATTAAATGAATATACAACATTTAATAATGGAACATTACAAACTCAAAAAACTGGTATTTATTTTTCAATGTTTGCTGCACAAATTGGTAGTCCAAATAGAAATGGTAAAGGAGAAGTTCATATTTGGACGGAAAAAGATGGTAAAAATGAACAAAATTCCAATAGTATTCAAACAATTAATCGTGGAACTACATCAGTTCTTGTTTATTCATCAGTTTTTCAAATTTCAACTGATCAAACACTTGCACTTTTATATTCAGTTTCAACAATAAACAAATGTACATCTTTAGGTTTAATTGCAACAGAACCAGAATATGAACCAATTGTACCAAGTATTATAACAACAATTATACAAATTAGTGATGGTATTAATACAATTCCATATGCTGAATTATTTAGTACAAAAACACAATTGGGAAATTCAAATTCTGAGGTTATTACATTTGATAGTTTCAGTGCAAATAATAAAATTAATACAACACATACTAAACATAATGGAAATATTGAATATAATGAAGAAGGTATTTATTTTATTATTGTTTGTGCTCAAGTTGGTAGTGAAATTGATAGTGATGCATCAGGTGAAGTTCATTTATGGACGAAACATAATGATAAAGATATGCCAAATAGTAATACAATTCAAACTATTCGTAGTGGTAGTACTTCAGTATTAATTAGTCAAACAATTACTAAACTTAAATCAAATGATAAAGTTCAAATTGCATTTTCATCTACAAATAAAAAATTAGGTGTAATTGCTTCACAACCAAAGAATGAACCAGCTGTACCAAGTATTATAGTATCAACATTTCGATTACGTCATCAAGGTGATGCAATTCCATATGCACAATTATCAAGTTCAAAATCACAATGGGGTTGTAAAAAATCGAAAGGAATTGAAATTGATATGGATGATGGTTTACAACGTATTAAAAATAAAAATGGAATTATTAAATTTAGAGAATCAGGAACTTATTTTGTTATTGCTGCTGTTCAAGTTGCAAGTGAAGATAATAATGGTATTGGTGATCTTCATTTATGGATGAAACTAAATGGAAATGATATACCTAGTTCAAATACAATTCAATCAATAAATAAAGATACGAGTGTATTAATCTGTCAATCTGCTGTTGAAATTAAAGTTGGTGATAAACTTCAAATGGCTTATTCGACTGATGTTGCACAAGGTAAAATTGGTTTAGTTGCTACTCATCCTCATAATGAACCATTGGTACCCAGTATTATTATGAGTATTTTTAAATCAAGTTATGCAGAAGATAATTATGATTGATTTTGAAATTTAGTGAAAAGTGCATTGAAAATAAAATAATTATCTTAATTAAACTTTTTTTGTGAGAATTATTCGAAAATAATTTATTTTTTTGATTCTACTTTATTTTTTTTCTTATAAAACAACGATTTTTGGATATATACTTTCTAATCCAGTGATTCTATGGTTATATGTCGAAACTATAAATCATAATCAAGTAAACCAGAAAAAAATATTGATTTTATAATAATTTTGTTTGTTATTATAGAGTAAAAAATTTTGAGTTTTGTATTATCATACGATGAATTAATATTTCAGACAAAAGAGAACAAGTCAATTTCTATTATGGAAAATTATTTAAAATTACTTAAAACCATTAACAATCATAACAATATCGAATCATTGTGAAAAAGCTATGAGAAGCTAATGAATTATAATGGATATAAATGGGTGTGGGTGTGAGTAGGAAAGAAGGAGCACTATTCTACATTCACATCCATAATCTGTTGCATCTTAAAGAAAATCTAATCGGTCATACATACAATAAATTGGATAAGAGTGCACAAGATCTGTCTGACGCACTGATGCATGTTTCTTTGTTTATGTTTGTTTCATAACGTCCAAGATAAACAACTCAAAGTGAATATTCAGATAAAATAATTCTGAATTAACAAGTGTTCACATTTTTATTCAAGTAAATCATTAGATGTTGTTGTGCAGAGTATAAGAAACAACAGTGCTTATTCGCTGTATGAAAAATCTTCTACAGTAAAAAGATATAGATTTCGTATGAAACTTTTAGAGGTTCATCTTCAATATTTATCGAACGAATGTCCACATAATGAACAAAATTTAATTGTCAGATCTGATCGTGTTACATTACATTGAGAGCAGAATCTTGAAAGTTGATCAGAATATGGTGGGGGTGAAGAATCATCGTGTTGCTGAAACAATGATTCTGATATTGGAATGTCTTCATGAGAATATGGAGGAGGCGAAGAATTATCTTGATGTTGAAACAATGTTATTGATACTGGAACGACTTGTTCAGAATGATGCATTGCATCCTCTTCAATCATAAAACGATCAGTAACAATCACTAACTAGAAAAGATAAAGATTTCAAATAAAATTTCGTAATTATTTATTCTTAGAAAAAATGAAGAAATAATACTTACACGATAGCACGTTATTTTATAACTGGGACATAGTAAATTGCCTTGGTTCCAATTCTCCAGTCTCCAATCGCATGGTGCTGGTAATCTTGAACAATATTTCAGTGATTCTTTAGCAATTACTTCACGTATTCGTTTGAGACTGATAGGCACAATAAAAATTAAAATAATAAGTGATATTAAAGATAAGATGAACAGAGCAATACTAAAGCCAAATAATACATCAATCTTAAATGGACCATTTATAGACATCGATATACATATAAATGCAGCTTTTAGACCCAAAAAAAAGGTTAGAAGAGAAATCATCCTAAAATTATTCATTGAAATGAGTGTCTGATTGATGTTTTTCATTGATTCTTGAAATTCATCTGGACTAAGTATTCCACTTAGTTGACTTCGATATGTTGAATTAAATTTGAATTTCATAAAGCCAACTAAAATATTTTCAGAGTAGTGCTTCGATGAATCAGAAAATTTCTACTTACTTTGAACAATTGGTATAAAAATTGAGTTTAGAAATACAGAAACAGCAGTCATTCTGGAATTATTTAGAGCTACAATTTTCAATTCATAATAATTAAGAATAAAACAAAAGATCGTTAAAAACAATTAGATTTATTCTCAATAAGAATGTGAAAATACTAGAAAAATCATGTCCTCTAAAATAATCTATTTAGTGTAAAATATTTGAAAGAGAAAAAAAATATATATTGATAAAAATGTTTAACTCGCTTCCGTTATCAAGATCGATTTTGTGAAAAGTAATGCCAGATGTTGATTACTTAATCAAATATCAAAATCAGCGCTTTCCAAAGAAAACCTGTTAGTATAAAATATTCTATTGTGCAAGATTTATTTTAAAAAATTAACAATTATTACAAATATCTGTTAGGTCAAATTCTTTCTGTTTAGATCCATAATATTTATTCCCCGGTTGAATTTAATGCAAAAACGGCATATATTAGAAAGCAAGGTCTTATTAGTGAATAGTTAGATTCGAAATAAGAGTCGATTTGAATGAGAATGAATGAAAGCGATATTTGTTGTGATCTAACTACAAAAAGTTTAGTTAAAGAAAACATTATCTTATGATATTGAAACTTCTATGAAATATTATGCTTATGAGAATTTTTTGACTTAATGTATATGATTTATAAGAACTGGTTCATTTTTTTTTTGAAGATCACAGTCGATGAATCCTACTATTTCATATATTCCTATCATCTAAATTTATTGTTAACATGTTCTGATATTGAGAGCGTGAGGAATGATTTACAGTACATTTATATCGTTGTGATTTATTTCATTTAACCATTATGTTTGATATTTCTCATAATATGAAAGAAACTACCAACGCTTTCATCACACTACCGAATACATGATATTTTTTTCGTTCTATGATCCTTTCTTATATATATACCCACTCATCCATATCATGACTTATTCTCCTTTCTTCGGTCACGGTTTGAAATAAGACGAAAACAAATAAATCATATATTTCACATCATAAAGTATACTACGACCGGTCAGCAATTGAGTGGATGAGAATGAAAAGGGTAAAGTTAACTTTTTTGATTATCGTCAGCTATTCTTTTTTTGCGCTTTTTGGAATAACACCAAATTGTAGTTGCATAGTTACATTTCATTTTATATTTAAATGAATAATGTTTATACTTTGCTAACGATTACAAAATTTATAATAATAAATCTATTCTTGTAGAAAAATTAATCAAAATTTTTTTAAATGATCATAAAATGTAATTTGTAGTATAAGAAAAAACGTTCTATTGAGAGAATATAGCAATTTTACTTTTTACATATGAGAAGTATGTTGAATATTATTTGTATAGTGAATAAAATAAATTTACTTCTAGATTTATACATTGAATTTCTTACTTTTCATACTTAAAAGTGAAAAATGGCGAAAATACCAACTCGTCAATTAGGTAAAAATGGTCCTCAAATATCCGCTATTGGTTTTGGACTAATGACTATAGCTGGCAATAATCCTAAAAAGCTTGCAACTGATGAAGAACAATTCAAAATTCTTGATCGTGCAATTGAACTAGGTTGTACATATTTCGATACTGCCGATATCTATGACGATAATGAAGACATACTTGGTAAATATTTCAAGAAGTATCCACATCAACGTGAAAAGGTCAGCATAAATATCTTTCCAATAAATGATTTACAAAGTTTTAATAAATTTTTCTACAGATTTTTCTTGCGACAAAGTTTGCCGTTTGCATGTCCTCTGATGGAGAATCTTGCACAACTCGTGGTGACGCACAATATGTTCGTGAAGCAAGTGAAAAAAGTTTAAAACGTCTTGGTCTTGACTATGTTGATCTTTATTATGTACATCGTATTGATAAAACTGTTCCAATTGAAGAAACAATAGATGCAATGAAAGAACTTGTTGATGCTGGTAAAATTAAATATATTGGTTTATCAGAATGTTCAAGTGATACGCTTCGACGAGCATATGCTGTTCATCCAATTGCTTGTGTACAAATTGAATATTCACCGTTTAGTTTAGATATTGAAAGAGATGAAATTGGCCTATTGAAAACATGTAGAGAACTTGGTGTAGCACTCGTTTGTTATTCTCCATTGGGTCGAGGAATGCTCACTGGACAATATAAAAGTCAAGATGATTTTGAAGACAATGATTATCGACGAACGTTTCCTCGTTTTTCAAAAGAAAATTTTCCAAAGAATCTTCAGTTAGTTAATCAATTAGCAGCAATAGCTAAAACGAAAGATTGTACTCCTGGTCAATTAACATTAGCGTGGATTCTTGCTCAAGGTGATGATTTTATTCCAATACCAGGTACAAGTAAAATCAAAAGATTAGAAGAAAATGTTGCTGCAGTTCAAATTAAACTAAGCAAAGAAGAAATTGAAGAAATTCGTCAAGCTTGTAAAAATGCTGATGTTGTCGGTGAACGTTATCCTGTAGAGTGGAATGACGAGTCATATAGCGATTCAGCACCTAAGCAGACAATTTCGAATGCTACAACAAATGAAAAGTAAAACAAAAATACATACAATTCTTTACGTTATTTCATACTCCAACAGATTTCATGTGACACAGTAGTTAAGATTCTGTATTAATAATATGATTTAATTGTAGTTTTCACTTTATTTGATAATAAAAACATGTCTAGATCGTATTTATTTTTTGCAATTGTTAGATACTTTCGATGCATTTTTTATGTTGGAAATATAGGATGATTAAATCAGTTTAATACTCTTACCCACTCTCAAGATTGTTTAGCTTTGCCTCGATTGTCTATCTAATTTTGATGAAAAATTACGATGATGAACACAAATCATAAAACATGATATTTAACGACGTCGAGAATGCAGAAAAGTAAAAACAATTTATGCAACTAGAGAATGTTCGCAATTAGAATAAATTTATTAATATTTTTTGACATGATGATAATCAATTTGGAACACAGTGTCGTTCAGTACGCACCTGCTTGATTAAACATCAAGAACGTTTTCTTTCAAATAATGTCGGCAAAAGAATGTATAGAGTTCTTAAGACAAACTGCTGTAGCCATCAATTAGAAAAATTATTATTCAGTATATAATAAGATCTTCTACTGCGTTTGTACTTTTTTTCTTCTGTAAAAGTACCTTTTAATTATAAACGACGTCTTTTACAATTATTCGAATAACTAATCTCATTCCGCAAATGAATATACTTTTCTTTCATTACAGTCTATCGGATCTATATAATAGTAGAGAAAAAATAGTTTACATTCTTATACTTATACATTTTAATATACTTCACTTATCACCTAAAATTAATAGAAATTCTTCGTTAATCCGTATAGTAACAATGGACTTATCGACGATATCTTATTATTTATATTTATATTTCTTACCCATGATAATTGTCTTTGGTATTATTGGTAATATTCTAAGTATATTTATATTCACACGTCCATCACTTTATCGTTCATGTTCAATTTATTTTTTGGCTAGCTCAATAAATGGTCTTGTTATCCTTATTTTTGGCACATTGATTCAATGGTTAACACTAATCTTTCCTATTTTAAATGCCACACGTACATCTCTCAATTATTGTCGTTTCCAGACGTTTGTACTCTATGTTATTTATAATTTAGCACCTTATTTTACCGCTTGTATTACAATAGATCGATTTTGTTCAAGTTCAGCTAATGCTAAGATACGTCGTTTAAGTTCTCATGCTCGAACAGCTTATATTGTTATACCTGTTATCATTCTGATGACATCAGTAGCTTATATTCATATAACTATTCGATTTACAATTATCAATTCATCATGTCGACCAGAATCCGATTTTTATAGTAATTTTTTTCCTTTTTTTACAACTGGATATTATTTGCTTGCTATTTTCATCATTATTACATTTGGATTGGGTACAAGTTACAATATTCGAACTCAAAATCGAAAAGTTCATTCAATGATTAGTACAGTAACTAGAACAGCATTAGAAAGACGACATGCACGAGGAGATACTCAATTATTATTTATGTTACTCATACATGTGATATGTTATGCTTTTCTTGCTTTACCATATCATCTTGCACTTATCATTGCAGCAATAAAACCAATCCTGACAACGAATGTAATATTTAAATTTGTTCAACAAATGACTTTTCTCACACTCAATCTTAGTCAAGCGGTAAGTTAAGAGAAATCTAGAAATATGATTAAATATATTTCTAAACATAATTTTTATCTTTAGATCAACTTTTACATCTTTACATTAACGGCTCATATGTATCGAAAAGAACTTAAAAATCTTATCAATCGACTGAATTTTCAATGTTGGAAATAACGAACAATTGAACATCAATATTATATATGTTTATATACCGTTTTGTTTGTTGTTTGTCACTATAATCAATTGATTTGAATAATATTAACTGAGGAATCTTATTAAAAGAAAGAGATTAATTACAATAAATCGATAATGTATGTGTATTTCGTTTAGTTCAACAAGTTTTGTGGAAAAGAAAAGTAATGTACACAGATTAGGTTGATCATCTTTAGCGGCATCGGATGCTAAGATAATTTGATTATTATCTTGCCAAGTTATACCTTCGATATTGCAATATTGTATTGTACATGTTTTCACTGTTTTAGGAAAGCGTGGCAAATCATAAATGATATTATTTTGTAATGATGTAATTGAAAAGAAAGGTGCTTTAGAGATCTCTTCAATTCGTCCAACCCATATTTGACTCATCTCTTGACTGATGACTGCAATATATGTCGGAAAACGAGTTAATTGTTCATATTGAATAGAAATCGCTGAATATTCTTGAAAATGTATCGATGATGGAAGATATAATGTTCCAACATGTTCCCAACTACAATTATCTACAAAATCGAAGGATAATAACAACTTTCTTTTGAAAGTAATTCTCTTTACTGTTAAACAATGCTTTCTTCTTTTCAAGAACTAAAATTCTTCCTTTATTATCTGGTTTCGATTGATCATTGCAATCATTGGCTTCGCATAAAGCTAACAAATAAGTTCGACTAGAAGTAGTATGAGAAACAAATTCGAGAACTTCGATCCCCTTATTATCCGAGGTAAAATTCCAATTGATCATACAAGATTCTAGTACACGAACTGGCGTAGCATCTTTAAGATCAATGCTAATCTCGAAGACATTACTTCGAAAGATTTTCGAATTCGATGTTTTGATTGCTTCTTGTGCGACAAAATAAGTATCATCGACTGGATTGTAAATCATTCCTTCGAACTGAGATTTTTTAGTGGATAAAGATGCATCTGGCCAGGCTAACAATCGATCAGTACAACCTTGAGATTGACCCAATGAAGTACAGAAAGCACCAATATGATATGAATTATCAAATACCGCGTAGATAACTTAACCATCACGACGTAAAACAATGTCTGATGTTTCGAAATCATTAGGAAGTTTTGCGATACCACTGTATCTAAATGTAAAAATAAAAAGAACTTCCATTATGTAATGAGATATTTGATTTAAATTCTATAATTAATTTCTTCTAAGGTAAGATTATAACCAAAAAAGACTTACGAAGATGGAGTTACAAAAGATTTAGACACTTTTTGTTCTTGCAATAACTTAAGAGTGTTTGATTGAGTTGTATCATTAACACACTGATCCAGTGTAATTGTTCGCCCATTGATCATTTGAAAATGATTGATACAGATAAAAAGTGTAATTGTGAGTATAAACGGCTTGTACTCCATTAAAAACTTAAATACACGTGAGCAGAGCTATTCAGTCAATGTTGTGATAGGAGTAAGCAAGGGTTGTTGGCGAAGCTTGTTACTGATTTTTCTACTAGTTTTCATCCACTATAAATAGAGTTTTCATCATGAACATATCGAACCATCGTCAGCTGTGATAGATCACGTGAATATTGTTTTTCAAAGATCGAATGGCATGTGATGTGAAAAACAAAGGACAAAGATTAGTGTCACGCACAATTTTTTGTTGAAATCATATGAAAGGGATTGACGTGTGTGAGAAATGCATTTGATGATTTTGTGCTAAGGATGAGAAAACTAACAGGCACTCACCCACTCAGTGTCCTCTTTTTTTTGTTCTGTTAATGGCACATATTTTTCATAGTTATAATTCATATATAAATGTAACAGAATGAGAGAAAACGAATACATAAGTTTTCTATCTGATAGATTCGATATATCAGTAATAGAACGAGAAAAATGACTGTTGTTTTTTTCCATATTTACTTTAATATGGTTCCGATTTGGTTTTAAGATATCGCATTCGTCTTGACACGAAAATTTAAGTATTAGTTTTATTTCAAGGATAGTGGTAATGGTGGACGTTCTAACATAATATGTTATAAAAGAAATTATCGAATTAAATTCAATTTTGAGGAAGAATATCAAAAAGATTTTTCTTCGTCTTCTTCTTATTAAAAAATTTCTTTTTCTTCAATATTTATTCAATTTTTTCGTCACTTTTTTAAAAATCAGAAATTTACAAACTTATTTCAAATTTTTCAATTCGATGATTTGACCAATCAGCAACATAAATACTTCCTTCATCATCAAAAGATAAACCACGGGGACCATTCAATTGATTTGATTGATTTCCTCTACCATTTCCACCAACAACTATTTCACCTTCTTCTTTTCCTTCACACCAACGCATTACCCGAGCATTCCAAAAATCTACCACATAGATCTGACCTACATCATCAACAATTACTCCTTGAGGACAAGACAGTTGATTAAGATTTCCTCCTCGACCATTTCCTCCAGCCACAATTCTTCCTTCTTTTGCATCTTTTTTCCATTTCATTACACGATGATTGTTTTGATCTGATACATAAACAGATTGTTCTTTATCAACAAAGATAAAACGGGGATAATTGAGTTGATTGAGTTGATCTCCGATTGCATTTCCACCTGCTACTACAATTCCTTCGTTGTTGTATTCACCCATTTTCCATCGTCTCACTGTATTCATGCTCCGATCAGAAACATAAAGAAATCCATGTTTATCCATTGCTAAGCAACAACAGTCAATATTCTCAATGATAATTTTTTGATTTCGATTTTGATTCAGCCATCGAAGCACTCGTCTGTTACCCAAATCAGCAATAATGATCGAATGATTTTGTTGATCAACAATCATATCTGTTGGCCAATTCAACTGATCCATTCGATGTCCTTGTCCATTTCCACCTGCAATGATTTGTCCTTCCTTTGCATTACATTTCCATTCAATAATACGGTGATTTTCAGAATCAGCAATGAAAATACTTTTCTTTTTATCAATAAAGATTCTTGCAGGCCAATTAAGTTGATTTAATCATTGTCCTCGTCCATTTCCAATAGCCACAGTGATGGCATTTTGTTTCCATTTGTTGAATTCGGGTTCTAGAATATGATGAAAACAAGACATTTTAATAAAAAGAAGAAAACTTGTTTTTGATCGAAGAAAAAAGAAAAGATTAATTTCGATTGAAATTTTCATTCTGCTTTTACTGTTCTATTTATTCTATAAAGGTGACAATCTGTTTGATTTTTTTATTTATTTTAATTTACAATTTTAATATAAATATTTAGTAATAAATCAATAATATTCTTTTTTATTTTCTTCATCATTATTTTTTTTATGTACTATAGTTGTTTAAAATGATTTCATAGAAAATGAGAATTATTCAGTTAGAAATTATTTAGTAAAAACTTACTTTTTGATAAAATAATTGAAATTTCATTAATACATGATTGTGAATCTTCTTTAATAGAAATCTTCGATGGATTATTTAATTCCTCTGTAATTTCTATTAATTGATTTGTTAAATAACTTAAATTAATTTCATTAAATTCATTTTCTTTATGAATTTGTTTTATTTGTTCAGATAAATCATTAAATTTCTTTTCAATATCATTAATAGATTTTTGTAGTAATTTAATGACAGCTTCTCTACAATCCTTTGCGTTTTGTTGAATTATTTCAATTGAATTTGTTTCCCATTGATTAATTTGTTTTATTAATGGATGATTTTGTGGACTTTGTTTTTGTTTATTAATTGTTTGTTTAAATTCATTATATTCATTGGTAATAGTATGTAATTCATCATTTAATATTTGTTTATGTTCTGCTAAGTCCGTAAAACAAAATTCGTTTGAACATCCTTTACAAGGGTAAGTTATTTTGTCTTCATTACATTTAAAACACAGTGTTTTGTTGTTTGCCATTGCCATGTCATTGACTAAAAGTTTGTAGACTAAATAAATATCTCCTTATCTACCTTTATGAGTATAAACTTATAATAACTCAATAATAATAAAACCGTTGCTCAGTAATAGAAACCTGAAAAGTATTCTTTTATGATAAATTCTCACTAGTAAAAATGATGTAATATTTAAGATAGGTAGACTAAAATTGAAAACGGACTTCGTTTCAATTTCAAATAAAAATTCAAGTGATTTTTGTGATATTGTTTCAATGAAAGAATGTTTTAATATAATTAAAGATTAAAGATCGATCTACACCTACAACTTTAGCCTACAAATGAATAATATATCAATCTCTTATCCACTCAACTGTATCGTTATGTTCAACTTTATCATCACTCTTATTCTTAAAATAATTATTGTGTGATATTGTGTTTAGTTAATTTTTTATATTATTTTAAAAAACAAACTTACTTAAATGAAACTATTTCAAGAAACTGAATTTGTAAACGTGTTATGTTTTGTGTGTTTTTTTTTCAACTATACATTTGATTTGACAAAAAGAAATCAGACAAAACAATTCAGATTAAGAAGAGAAGAAAACTAAACACGTTTTATTTTTGATGAAATAGATTTTTAGTGCTTCATAGCGAGGCAAGATTTAAAAGTGAAAAGCAAATAAGATGAAGAAAATCAAGATTCTAGAAAGTTGGAAATAATTCCAACTAAAAATAATATTTTCAGTAATTTAGTTTTGTTCGCTAATGAAATTGGAAATCTCACATGAATTTTTTAATAAAAAGAATCTGTCGAAAATAAAAATATTGATAATTAAAAATGATTTAATTGTAAAAGAAAAACTAAATCGATGTTAATAAATAAAATTTAGTCATAAATACGAAAGTATTATATATAATCGGATATGCGGAAAGGTTCTTTCTATATATCTCAGCATAGATACATAATAGAAGTTTGATCTTTTTTCTTAAAAGATTTACTAAGAAAAGTTACAGAAGAATGATAACAGTCAATATCTGCGATGACTGGAATTGATAATCTGTTTCATAACTAAAACAAAAAATGTTACATAATAAAATATATTTTGACATTTTTTCTTTAAGAATTTTGTAAAAATCTAATTGAATTTATTTTTATTTTAAAAAAATCAATAATTGCTTAATTAATGTCTTATAAATGAAAATATTATTTAATTTTGTGTAATATCGAATGAATAGTTTTTTTAATTGAAATAATAATTAAAATTCATTTCTATTTAGTCAAATAGAAATTCTAGAATTCGTCAATAAATATTTCACATATGAAAATTGTTTTTTTTTCTCAGACGTAATTTAATAAAAACAATGATTAAATTGGTTTTTCATTATATTCTTCCAGATATAATCAATACCCTTCTCGATAAACTAGTGGCGTAGCCAAGGGCGGGCTAGGTTGGGCGCCGCCCAACCACCGGTCAATTTTGAAAAGTTGTCTTTTTTTATTTATATGCGATTACTGATCGTCACTATCTTTTATAAAGGCGTTCATATCCTAAACGTAATATGTATATTCAGTTGATCATTACGTTCAAAAAACTCTTCTAACCAAAGAGTCTAAATAGTTAAGAAAAGTTTTGGTGTGACTTTGTTGACTATATCAGACAAAATAACAACAGATGGGCCAAAGCTCCCTTCCGCTATAATAGAAGCCCCCTCTGAGACGTACAACGTGTTTGACGTATTAAAAACCCCCTGATTTTTCCAAAAAATTTAAAAATCTTTTCAGATCTTTTTCAAATTCTCCTACTAAAACTGCTAAAATTTCTCGATTTTAAGGCAAAGTTTCGACTAACTTCTATCTAACTGCGCTTAAATCTGGAAAAACTGCCTAAAATCTTCTGAGAAAATCATGAAAACTTTGAAAATCTCTAGAAATCTTGCGAATCGAGTTTCTTATCATAGTCTATGAAACCGTTTTGGAACTTGATAGAAGCCCTTCAGAAATTATAAACGGTAAACTGATTAGAAGCCCCCAGGGGCTTCTAATATAAGAGCAGAGGTGCAGAATCTTCCTAAAAATAATTTCCTCCCGGGGAAGTTTTCGAAAAACCTTCTCCGAGGTAAATTTTGCAAAATTTCCCAGAAACTGCCCCAAAATTACAGTTTCTAAAAAGTTTCTCCCACCCCCGCCCCTCCTGCCTCCGAGCGCGGACGCACGAGAAAGATTCTGCACCTCTGTATAGAAGGGTGAGGGGGGGGGGGCGGTTGCTGTTCTTTTACTTGTATTTTTTCTTAATAATAGAAAATGTCAATCCAACTAACTCTTGTATTTTTTTATACATAAGTGAGGTATTATTTTAGAAAATATTTTGAAGATGCACATACCATTGTACGTTTATTCTACGAAAAAGAAAATCATCTCTCGCCAAAAATACCCTTTTCAAAAACCCTTAGGGCGCCGCCCAACCACCCATCAAATCCTGGTTACGCCACTACGATAAACATCAATTATAAATTTATTAGATAAGAAAGTAACTATTAATTTACCTCTTAGTTCTCATTGAGCAGTGTTTCTAATAGCAAGTGTACAAGCATAATCGAAATGTACGGAACACTTGCTCCTCTTGAAATACACGCCGCGGTACACTTATCCCAAAAAGTAGAGTGTACGAAATACACTTTGTTTAATAAAATAACACTTTGCTTCTAATTCTGAGGATTTTCAAGAATAATATGAATTTCAAAAGTTATGTCCCAACAATGAAACATTGTGACCTTTTTTGATACAAATTATCATTCGTATCTTGGAAAGATAATTGTGTTCGAATTTATTGTGTATTTGTTCATCTACTATTGTTTAATTGTTCTACGAAAGAAAAGCATTAACATTCTTCTATTTTTCACTTCTTTATTTTGTGTTAAACGTCAAGTGTAGCGGCGTAACCAGGGAGGGGCAGATGGGGCTTAGCTCCATCACCGAGTGTTTAAGCCCCATCACCCGGATTTTGTGGAACTCATGTGAATTTTCGAAGAAAATCGTGAGTGTAAGTTTTAAGCTCAAGTTTCTCAGTTCCCCTCCCCCCCCCTCCCAAATTCAATAAAAATACGCAAAAATCATTAAAAATAGCTATAGATTGCTAAAATGTTAATAAAAATACTGAAAAAGCGTTAAAAATAGCTGTAAATTGCGGGATTTTCTATAAAACATAAGCAAAATGGGTAAATACAGCTATAAATTAGTAGAATTTTAATAAAAATAAGCAAAAATAGTTAAAAATAGCCATAAGTTACTACAAATTTAATTAAAAAAATAACGAAAATGGCTATATATTGCGGAAATTTTTATGAAAATAATGACAAATCGCTGAAAATAGATATATACTGCCGCAAATTTAATATAAATAACCAAAAATGTCAAAACTAGCTATAAATTAACTAAATTTGAGCAAAAAAAGAAGACAAAGCGCTTAAACATGATCAGATATTTTGATGCGAACATACGTGAGTTCCCCATTTTTAGCCCCAACGGGGCTGCGCTGACAAGCTTTTTTAGTTACTAAACTTGACAATCAAAAAATCCAAAAGACTAGACAGTTTTGGGCAGAGCTAGGCAACTCAGCAGAAAAAAGTGAATCAATTCAATTCAATTCCTGAAAAAACTTTTGAATTTAATTCAACTCAATTCGCGGCTACTAAAAATTTTCCAAAATTCAACTCACTTCAATTCAATTCAGTCATAGCAAAAATTCCGTTCAACTGAATTCATTGATTATGTATATTTTTTTTCAACTCAACTGAATTCATTGATTATGTATATTTTTTTCAACTCAACTTAATTCAAATTGAGTTATCTTAAAAAAATTCTCTATGCAACTCAATTGAATTGAGTTGCTCAGCTCTGATAGATATAGGTAAATACACATGTGATTCATTAACTAGATATGAAAGATGTAGACAGAAATTACAAAATAAATCGAAACAAGGACTAGATATTTGATTACTTTTATTATTTGAATTTTGTTTTCTGAAAAATAATTTTCGATTCTTTTTGAGTTAATTTCGATTCAATCACTACTTTTTGAAACTTTTTTCAATTCAATTCAGTTGGACTAGGTTAATGAATGCAATTGAGTTAAATTGAGTTCGTCATTTTTCGAACTAACTTGTCCATTTCTGGCTTTGGAGCTGAGCCCCATCACCCTTAAATTTCTGGTTACGCCACTAGTCAAGTGTATACACTTTGATACACTTGTCATACGAAAACAAGATGTACACATACACTTGGCTAAGAAAAATAAAATGTAAGGTGCGCGTAATTCAAAAATCGAGTAAATTTTTTTTCTTCGATATTTTTACGTAGTTTGATAGAGCTCGTCGAGCTCTACAAAACTGTATATTTAAAAAAAATTCTAAGTCAATTTTTTGGGGTAAAAAAATCGAAAAAACATGAAAAAAAATGTGAAAAAAGTCCTTTTTTTATATAGAAAAAAATAATCGTTTTTTTCAATAAATTGAGCATTTCTCTTATAATATTGGTAGCTAAGAAGTTTGAAAATATGCCCATTCGACGCAGCTTGAAAAACTGCATCTAATGGCATATATTTTAGAGTGGTCACATGTGATTTTATTGTGATTTATTGGGACCTAAAGAGCGCAGTCGGTCAAAATAGTCGGGTGAGCGTCGCCAAAAGTGCATCAACGATCGATTGGCTTGCTCAATTCCTTACAATTTTATGTCATTCTACTCGTCATATGATGGGCAACAAATCTATGGATCCGTTTAATTTTATTTCTTTGCGTTGTTGAGAAAATTCACTTTTCCTGCACTATAACATGAAAAATTAGGTCGTATTTTGATTTTTTGACTAGAAAAAGTTCAATTTCACGTAAAAAGAACACGATATT